CATCTGGCAAAATGTGGCATAAATGCCAGACTTTGCCAGACTTGGCCCAGATCTGGCAAGTGTCTGGCAAAATGTGGCATAAATGCCAGACTTTGCCAGACTTGGCCCAGATCTGGCAAGTGTCTGGCAAAATCTGGCCCAGATATTGCCAGACGTTGCCAGATCTGGGCCAGACGTGGGCCAGATTATTGAGGCTGTCTGGGATATATTCCACCATGTTAACACACTGTAGCATCTGCATGCAGTCCATTTAAAAAGTCATAAATTTAGTTGCTCTTGTTTTGATATTAAGATAAGGACACATATAAAGCACAGAACCAATGCACTAAACTGAACTTGGAGGGCAAGCTGTCAATTATGGTCATAATCTGTGTGTCGCATTAATGAACCAGATGGTGCTGTAACATGAAGCATCTTTCTTTACCTATCTTGTAGTATCTGACCAGAGAATTGGGATCAGCATCTACAGCATTCAGCTCAAAGACCTTGGAGTTTAAGGCAGGGTTTTGACTTATAGTGGTCAGAAACTTGGTCGGCTGGTTGACAAACACAGGAACTTCGTCATTTCTGTTTTCAATGTTAAGTCTAACGGCAATCAGATCCGTAGCTGAAATAGTAAGAATATTAACATTGCATGAAAAAAAAAATCATACTCAGGATACATCATTTACTGTCATGTTGACAAAAAGTGCATTAAAATATTAATAACATTTTAAATAGATTAAATAAGATCATACAAATTATTCAATCCTTGTAAGAGCAGAATTACCTAAAAGATCTGTCATATGCATTCAGAAATATTTCTTATTTCCCCCTAAATTTCCAGAAAAAGGGCATCCAAAATGAAAGTTGTTAAATAAATAAATAACATCTTAAAATAAAGGAAAGATTGGGAAATAGAGAGCAACAGAATCATTCCATCTTGAAAAATTTTGCTTATATCTTAACTATACACTGACAGTGGCCACAATTAACAAAACTTAAACCTAGCAGCATGTTCTCAACATTGTCAAGCTAATCAGGTGCTTGTTATGTATACGTGTGTAATCAGAATAATTTCAAAATTCCTCCCCAACAATACTTGAAAGGTCCCACATATAACCCAAGATAACCCTGATAAGACTTTTAAGGATACAAATTCTATCCTCAATTCATCAAATGCCACTTAATATTCACAAACAGTATTCCAAGAATGTAAGAATTCTGCAGCCTGAAAGGGGCTTTAAAATTACCAAAGAACATTAAATATGCACGTCTTGGGCTTATTCTTCAGTTATTGGAGACTCAGACTCCATTCCCACAGACACCATTGGTCTACGTGGATTGATCCAACTCTGCGGATGCTCGTTAAGTGCAATCAGTTTAACTGAATGACACACCTCTTATTTCTGACATACTGGTATAATCACTAGAATTTTTGTATTCTGCTATGCTAGGAGGCAGCGTGTCATTAAATTAAGCTAATTCCAGGCAGCGAGAGTCCTCACAAAGTTGGGTCGATCCACAAAGACTAATGGTGTGTGTGGAAATGGGGCCTCAAACTCAAACTAACATCAGTGTAAGGTTCTGCAAATATTCTGCTGTGCCTGGCTTTGTAAACTTGAGGCCCAGAGCAACACAAATAACAGCTCGCAGTTGAATTGAGACTTAATTATGCTTACAGGTTCGCACAAATGGGACTTTTGTCATCACAGGTTATGAAAATACAGCTCCACACAAAGAAGTTGTTTGTGTACACGCTAGACTCGAGACTCAAATCTAAAACCCACGCGGACGGACTTCTATTTTTTTTTTTTTTTTTTTGTTGTTGTTGTTGTTATTCAAGCCCATCTCAGCTTATTAGACACTTTAATAAAACAAACCATACTGATACAGCTGGGTTATCTTGTTAAGTTACTGAAATATCAATACAATTCATAAATATACTGTAACTGAGAGAAATATCTTATATACCATTCAAAGCTAAAACCTCTGCAAGTGTAAAATGCTTTTTATTTTTATCACAAACTAATGATCACAACCTTCAAATCTAATTCTTAAGTTGGTGAATCGGTTTTCATATTGATCCATATGCCCGAGGCTTAAGGCTATCTCACTGATACAGTCAAGTTTTCAGGGGAAAATAAATATATATTTGGACATCAAAGGAAAATGGTCAATTTCACCTCATCTTGACTGGAAAACTATATTTGTAAAAGTTCATTTCTACAAACAAATGGCATTTCAAGAAATCACTAGGGATGTGTGACTGGTATATGTGGGTTTGTCAACTTCATCCATCTTAGTTGATAGATCGCAACACTTAGTACTTTATTATCATAAAGGTGGGTTGATAGACTGATTAGATTTGCTGCCTTTGGTGAGTAAATCGTAATCAGATGGCACAATGATATGATTAGATAAAACCTCTACTGGCGAACACAACTAATTTTCAACCATAATACTAGTATATAGATGGTGAAACGAAACTAATAAATAATTTCTCACTATCAGAGAATGGTGACTCACTACAAAGCACACCTCTGTTTACCAAGATAGGCTCTAAAACCCAACTGTAATATTTGATTACCAAACATTATGGAAGCTCTCATTCTTGTTTTATTGCCCCTATTTTGACCAATATTTTAATTATTTAAATATGTGCTTTCCAACTTCCTGCCTACTTTTTATCAGTTTATCATATCCCTAGACTGTGAAAGAGCCAGAAATTTCTATGACATTCACAAGATCTTATAGAATGGTTTAATATATTAAGTGTTGCCTTTCCAGGTGTCTAACGAAAAAATTATCGGTATGAAAGAGGAAGGATATATATATCCTTGACTTCTATATTTATTACCAGCCTATTGAGGAAAACCCAAGGTGATAAGATTATCATTAACATGATGATCAGCTGTGATAAAAAAGTCATACTTGAGAAAGACCATCTAAATTTGACCACTTAAATGAAAAATGTTTGCCAGCATTGAGTGTACATTTCCATGACTAAATCTATCAAATATTCAGAGCTTTGTGAATTTATGTCTTGAAAGTGAGATTACCAGATATATATATTTTTTAATAAAAATCAGCTACTAGAAATTTTTAACTAGCCACTGCTGCCAAGATAAAGAAATAAAATAATTATAATGATAAATCAGAAAATAAAAGAACTGACTTATCACCAGGCAAGACCACCCTGAAACTATCTCTAGTGTTTTTTTTTTTTTCATTTTCACTACTACAATGCCCCGTCTCAATCTTCCCATTGTTTTGTACCATTTCCATAGCTACACCTTTTAAGCCAGCATTACATACAATTAATGACCAGGTTTAATGATCACGAGGGTTTCATTAAGATCCAATCATTGATGTCCCACCTGCAAGGCTTTAAGCTTATAATTTTAATTAAAATCATGTCTATTAGTTTCATTGAGCTTTATGGAATCCCCTCATCTCAACCCTTAAAAAGTAAACTACAAAAAAATATCAAAGATTAAAATAAAAAGAAACAAAGGAAAATCAATCTTATCTTATAGCTTTTGATCTTTCTGTAATAAAGTCCCCATCACACACCTCAAAGCTAGTCTCTGATTCAGTGATGTTTCAAGAGATAAAAACACTCTATGCTTTTAACTAACTTCTAGCAAATGTATTGTCTATATAGCAGCTACTTTATAATAAATTAACACAACTTCCTGGAGAGAAAAAAAAGATGCCTGAAGTATGCAGAGGGTTAAAATGATGTTCAAATATCAGCTTTGGGAAAACATTAGTCTTAAGCTATATTACTTCTGGGATTTCTTGAAAAAGCAATACTTGTCTGGTTGACTAGTCCATTAAGTGCCCTGAGAGCTTGCAGCACTTCTGACTGTCTGGAAAGTACTGCTCGGTTGATTTATTCCAAATAAAAATTATAATAAATAATGGCTTTCAAACTATATCTACTTTATTTACACATCTAATTTTGAAGCGTCTTGTAATGCAAGCAAGTGCTCTTAATAATAAACCAAAATCTTAAAAAGCAGAAAACATTACTTTTCATCAAGGGTTAAACTTCCTTATAGAAATGATCTTATTAGGATAAATTTTTACATTTGAAAGTGGTTCAGATACAAAATATAACTTTAATAACTGTCAAAGATTATTTGTGCTCATTAAATTCATTTATGTTTCATATTCTCCATCTGACATAGACACTATTACTTACCACTTCTATCAGAAAGTAAACACCTATTACAACATCATTATTCATTCAAAGAAGACGGATTAAATTATTCAAAAGTCAAATGACAATTTCAGTATTAATAGAATATTACAGCAATACATCTATAATACCAATGAACATAGTTCAAGGCATCCAAAAAAAAAAAAAAAAAAAAAAAAAAAAAAAAAACTTTAGGTGATAAAAAAATACCCCAAGCATCAACAGTTAAGTGATAGAGAATCGCTCTGGTGCAGCACATTTATCTCAATTCATTACATGGTCATCAATCATCGCAAAGTACTGATCCAACATATTTTTAGTTAACCCAGAGGACCCACAGGTGATTAATACTTCCACAGAACTACTATGAAACATGGATAGCATCTCTCAGGTATGCCAAGTTTACCTGTAAAAAGCTGTTGTACTTGGTGCAGGAAGTTGTTTGTTTGTTTTGTTCTTTTTTTATATGTAGACCTGTCTCCTTTTTTTCCTGCTAGAGTATAATATGTGTGGCATTACCTTAACGTAGATTTTTTCATCACAATCTTCAAGGATGAAAACTTACATTCTGCAAATGAATTCTCTTCAGTTTAAATGTAAAATTACACTTTAACAATGTACTGCCCACAACTGTAAGTGACCTTTGCAGCTGACAGCAGTAAGACTTCCAGTGCAAGGTTGGCTGAATTTTGAATGGGATCCGAGCGTGTTCACCATCAGAAAGACATCTGTTGCAAAAACTCCTACCACACACTCAACCATATTCTTACACATTCCCAAGAGTGCATGGAGGAAAAAATCATTCCTGGGAAACTTTTTCAATGCCCAAGCATGAAAATAACATTTGAGAAATATGTAAGTTGGTCGATATCTGCAATTCAATTTTTTTTCTTTTTTGTGCATCAGTTAGAGAAAAGTGCTTAATATCTTTGATTCAGACAGTCATTTGCAACAGAAACAGTGTCTGTGAAGAAGGATATAAGTCTTCTAAAATCTTAGACGAGAAAGTAATGTGAGAGACAACCAATAATGGATGACCATCCTCCAAGGAATATCAACTTTTCCTGGAGAGAAGAAGATAACCAGAATATTTCTTTCTTGCATTTCACCAATCATTCACATTCATAGAGCATGTCAGGACTTTCAGATGTCATCTATTATTAATTAAAGAATCAAAATGGCATGACAAATCAAAGTCACCAGCTGCTCAAAGAGAAAAAAAAGTGTTCCAATTCCCAGAGCACGTTGCAATTGTGAACTAAGATTTTATAAACAATAAAAAATCAACAGGGCATAAAAATCATAGCCATCAGTTGCTCAAAGGAATGAGAAGGAAAAATTAAGAGAGGTTTAAAAATCAATTAATCCAAGAGTCTGTGATACTTAATCATTAAAGGTCAGGGTTCTATCAAAAGATTCTCCTTTTCAGTTTGTAACAGGAAATTAAGATTATAAAGCCCTGATCTGATACAGCAGGTACATGTCCCTTAAAAGGGATCATAGCCTGTATCTGCTCTGTTGTTGCACGACCAGCAAAATTTATCTGCCCTTCTTGGTAATCCACCTGGCAAATTTCCCAACATGCTCTTAACAGATGCTCCAACTCTCCCTTGTTACACAGCAAGACCCTTCCTTTTCCCTAAGAACCTTGGTTCTGCCCTAATCTGTGATGTATATTAGTACTTAGGGACAAGACTTCAATAAGAAAACTTGGCATGCTGTTCACAAGGTGTCTGGAGAAAAGATGCCCTATTTCACTGAATTTATACAATAGATGAACAATATTTGGTGTCATGAATACAAGACTACCAATATCTTCAATCATAAAACTTTGTGAGTTTTTGTTATCCAGATGGGTAAAGCATTACACAGTAACTTTGCACTTCTGTACTAGTAGATATCCCATATTTCTGTATACTCGTTTACCAATTGTTTTATTTCTCCTGGTACTTTTCTAGTTCTGTTCCACCTATCAGTGTGGCTAGTGATCTTGATATGCTAAATCTCATGTGAAAAAGAAACTTATATTCCACTCAGTTCTCTCTAAGCCTGGGTTCCCATAAACCTATCGTGCTAGCAGGATCGATCCAACTCCAAGAGGATTCTCGCTAAATTGCATTCAGTTTCAGCGGCTTAAATGTCTGTCACGTCCACTGAAGCTGCTAAGGAGGTAATTAACTGAATGCAATTTAACGAGATTCTCCCTCAG